TTAAAAGTGAATTACTTTTACCAACATATAATCTGTTTCTAATTACCAACGAATTGCATCCGTTGGTAATATTCGATACGTCACCTACAGACATTCCGTAGATGAAATATCCAAATGTTAAACGGTTATATGAGGTATGGAATATCCGTTGTTAAAGAGATATCATCGTTACCAACGAAAAATTCGTTGCTGATTATCGTAGTTGAAAGTGAATAGCCTTTATTAGTGGATAACTTGTTTCTAATTATCAACAGATGCAATTTTTCGTAGGTAAAAAGCTATTTTTTAGTAGTGTATTCTCACCATATATAACCACATCTGCCTTTCGTTTCACTATGTTGTAACTGCATGAAGATTAGTCGAGAGAAGGAAATTAAAATAGATTTTTTATAGAACTCGAGTGAACTTTCCCCATACAAGTTATGAAATAGACTACCACAACTTCATAATGATGGAAAAACCGAAAGCACACTAAGAAGAAAGAAATAAAAGAAAAGCAAGAGGAGTGCCTCTTCTAATTTGAAAGTGTGTGGGATAAACAAGCAAAGACTCGAACCAGGTTTCATCATAGAGGCTTCTTTTATAAAAATATATGTTTTAAAACTACAAAAGTAGAATGTGGGATTTGATTTCGTTAGACGAGGGGTAGAAGATTAATCTGCCAAACTTTAATGTCACAATTCAGGCTAGCGCTGTATAGGAGATAGTTTGATTTTGTTTCTGATGGATTGGAATAATCTAATGTCACTGCAATGCACTTAACTGGTCCTCTGTGTCCTTCCAAAACTGCCAAGCAAGAATAGGATTTCCCAAATCCTCTCCAAATTCTCACAGTTTTATCTGCTGAACCACTGCACACCATATCTGATATAGTGGCCAAACACAATATGGATTCGGTGTGTCCTCGGAGTGTACCCACCGTCACCATGCTACAGCTTTCATCCACCTTCTTCCAAACCAATATTGATCTGTCACGTGCACCGGAATACATCGTCAACCCATCTCTACTCAGTGCCACTGCATTTACCCCAGATTTGTGCTTCTCCAGGGTGGCAACTAAGGTATGCTTCTTATTTTCTGTGCTTCGCTTCCATATTTTGATTTTCTTGTCAGATGATCCAGTGTAAACATGTCCATCGCTGGCTAACGCAATGGCGTTTATTGCATCATCATGTGCATTGGCAACCGATTCCAGGCATTTGAAATCGGATATCCTCCATATCTTGAGAGTCCGGTCCCAAGAAACCGAATAGAGTAACGATTCATCATTTGACAAGGCCAGTGCTGATACTGTGTCAACATGATGAACCCATGTGCATTTCTTGTGGCGTCGAACTTGAACATGGTTTTTGGGTACCAAAAGTTTGAGTGCTCGGTCACTGAACGTTGGAAGCGTGGCCAACTGTGTAAACTTCTGCTCATCGTTATCCAGGTTATCGATTTTCCATACTCGAATTTTGTGATCTTGATGAGCACTTATGATTTTATCGGCTAAAACTACGAGAGCTTTCACTGCACCCTTTCCAGCCACAACCATATTTTTATCGGTGAGACTTTCGGAGTCGTTCATGGGGCTCAACGAGTTGCGTTTCCATAAACAAATTTCCTTATTAGAAGAGCCACTCAATAGAAACTTTCCCATAAGAACGAGCGACGTTGTGTAGGAGTTCTGGCCCTCTAGAGTCGCTAAACACTGGTGGTGTGCATTGACAAGTTGGTGGTCGGGCAGCAGCGGCGGCGAGTCATCGCTTGCACTACAAGTTTGATCGTCTGGCCTCATTTTTCTTTGAGAAAAGGAACGTCGAGGAGAGGAGTATACATATATAGAGAGAGACGGAAGCTAGCAAAGGGAGTTCATAGTTTGATAAAGTAAACTTTCAAGTTTGGGATTTATGTGTAGGTTTAGGGCTATGGGGTATTAATCATGCTAATTGTTCGATTTGTCATCGAAATTTCGTTTTAATCAAGGTTGTTCCCTCATACTATTCACACTATCAAAAGGACTTGTTTGGTATCTTGAGTCGAGTATTATCTTGAGCAATATACGTGGCTCTATAGGAGGAAAATAATTAAAAATTTGTTCATTTGTGGCGTACATTCTATTGCTATAAACAAGTCGACAAAATGTATTGACTTTTGTGTACATACTAAAATAGAAATTTCTATTCTTTTCCTAATTAATTGGGACCCTTGAACTTTAAAAAAGTGAATTACAAATTATTTGTACACACTCACATCCGGTAATAGATATTATAATGATGCCTTTCAAATGTTGCATAGTAAAGGGTAGACATTATTCATCTCTAGAAAAAGAGAGAGAGAAAAAGTTCTTATCAACCTCTGTTGGTAAGTTGTCGTTTTTATCCTCATGCCCCTGAATAATTGGACCCCGTTAAATTTTTCAGATGAACTTTTGTTTTAATTAGTGAAAGAATTGGGTGTACCCTATTCGCTTCACAGCCTCTATGACTAGTTCTCGTGTATAAGAACAACGTAACAACGGATGCCGATAGAGTGGTCGTCTCAAACGAAAAACTTCTCACGAGCATAAGATAAAAAGTTGATCGTTGTCAAGTCATCTTCTCAATGTCGAAAAACAATTGGACAATAGATAGTGTGCCGACTCTCTGTGAACTTGGCATGAGTGATTGGGAGATTGCATTTGATTGCAGAATTAGACAGAATCATACTGTAGGATCACAAAAAATATATACCATAATTGAAATAGATTGCGGTCGTATTAAGTAAATAACAAAGAATCTTATTTCTTCATTTCCTTTATTCTAATCGAGTATCAAAGAAACCCCAGATCATCTCCCACATGGGAATGAACAAGTTATCAACAATGAAAGTCCAATTTAGGATCCCTTCATCCAAGAAAAAAGGTTAGAACAATCCTTATGTACTATAAGCCCTAAATTCCCTCTCCATTATTTACACTCTTCTTTGTTCAACTAGCTTTTTTCTCACATTGGAACAATTGACAAGCATCTACAACAATAAATTAAATCTATTTTGAATAAATTTGATGCCAACTACGTTAATTTACGATAAAGTCCATAATCATCTTTTGTTGCTTTTATTTGGAACTAGTTATAAAGATATATGATATCGAAATTGACATTGACATTGAATTTTTCGTGGCAATGAATAATAGCTTAGTTGACCATGCAATAGTTGGAACAAAAATTTGGAATGTCCTTTTCTGATGAAAGATTTCTCGAGCTTTTGAATTCATTTAAGCTGTTGAGATGGGATTGGAAGACAACTATCCTGCTATTCCAAGTATGTATTGCACTAATGTTTTGTATAATATTTTTTAACAATGGTATCTATTCAAAACTTCATTGAATCGTCATTTAATCTTTGTAATAACATATTTTACTCCAATTTTTTAAGTTATGAATTAAGTTAGTAAAGAAATTCTAGTTTCATAAGGTTGGATACATGAGAATTGTGTAACGATTTAATGGAGATTTAGATGTCGTTAGCACTGTAAAGATTGATTATGCAATCGTGATGAAGGGTTGAAGACTAATTTTTTTTCTTTTTTTCTTTTTTTAAGGTCACAAACGTGATGAAGGGTTGAAGACTAAATTTTATTTTATTTTTTCTTTTTTTAAAGTCACAAACACGTTTGTGATGGTTCAATATAATTTGCCTGTATTTTTTTCTTCTTTCATTACTACTTGATTTGAATAGAATGTAAAAGTCAACTTTTTTTAATTGCATAGTTCAATTTCGCTTTATATTATGTATCTTTAGACGAGGATCCATATAGTTGAAAAAGAAATAAAGTTAAAAGAATGCCCTGACCTACCACCCAATTTGCTTCCAAAAACACATTGTACAAGTTGGGTATGGTTGCTTGTTAATGAACCATGGTTGGTATTGGTGAGATGTGTAGGGAAATAGTTTGTCAATAGACAAAGTAATAATTAAATTAAGTTCACAGGAACATAATTAAACTTTATGTAAATTTGAAACGAAAAGAAAGAAGGAGAATGAAAAAAAGTGGAGAAAAGAAATTCGAGATAAGTGATTAACACTTTTTCTTTGAAGACAAAATTGCCCTATAACGATGTTAACGGATTACAGTACTTATCTTTCAAGATACAACGGATGCAACTTGTAGTAGAAGCATTTTAAACCACAAGCAAAAGCAACTTGAACAAAAAATTTCTTTTTACAAGAAACTAATTTTGGAATGATTTTTGGAGAGTTTTGCCAAGAGATTTTGATGTAATGCTCGATGCAAATGATATTTGATGCATAATAGACGTCTAAAAGGTCCTATTTATAAAAGCTGAAAGGTTGTGAGTAAAAAAACGCGCCTCAAAACTCAGCAACTTTCCAGAAGAGACACATCCCTTGCTGTCGCTAACCTGTCACCGAGCTCACGAGCATAAGATAAATAGTTTATCGTTGTCAAGTCATCTTCTCAATGTCGAAAAACAATTGGACAATAGATAGTGGGCCGACTCTCTGCAAAATTGGCACGAGTGATTGGGAGATTGCATTTGATTGCAGAATTAAATAGAATCATACTGTAGGATCACAAAAAATATATACCATAATTGAGATAGATTGCGGTCATAAGAATTTTATTTCTTCATTTCCTTTATTCTAATCGAGTATCAAAGAAACCCCAGATCATCTCCCACATGGGAATGAACAAGTTATCAACAATGAAAGTCCATTTTAGGATCCCTTCATCCAAGAAAAAAGGTTAGAACAATCCTTGTGTACTATAAGCCCTAAATTCACTCTCCATTATTTACACTCTTCTTTGTTCAACTAACTATTTTCACATTGGAACAATTGACAAGCATCTACAACAATAAATTAAATCTATTTTGAATAAATTTGATGCCAACTACGTTAATTTACGATAAAGTCCATAATCATCTTTTGTTGCTTTTATTTGGAACTAGTTATAAAGATATATGATATCGAAATTGACATTGAATTTTTCGTGGCAATGAATTATAGCTTAGTTGACCATGCAATAGTTGGAACAAAAATTTGGAATGTTCTTTTTTGATGAAAGATTTGTCGAGCTTTTGAATTCATTTGAGCTGTTGAGATGGGATTGGAAGACAACTATTCTGCTTTTCCAAGTATGAATTGCACTAATGTTTTGTATAATATTTTTTAACGATGGTATCTATTCAAAACTTCATTGAATCGTCATTTAATCTTTGTAATAAACATATTTTACTCCAATTTTTGAAGTAATGAATTAAGTTAGTAAAGAAAATCTAGTTTCATAAGGTTGGATACATAAGAATTGTGTAACGGTTTAATGGAGATTTAGATGTCGTTAGCACTTTAAAGATTGATTATGCAATTGTGAGGAAGGGTTGAAGACTAATATTTTTTTTTAAGGTCACAAACACGTTTGTGATGGTTTAATATAATTTGCCTGTATTTTTTTCTTCTTTCATTACTACTTGATTTGATTAGAATGTAAAAGTCTACTTTTTTTAATTGCATAGTTCAATTTCGCTTTATATTATGTATCTTTAGACGAGGATCCATATAGTTGAAAAAGAAATAAAGTTAAAAGAATGCCCTGACCTACCACCCAATTTGCTTCCAAAAACACATTGTACAAGTTGGGTATGGTTGCTTGTTAATGAACCATGGTTGGTATTGGTGAGATGTGTAGGGAAATAGTTTGTCAATAGACAAAGTAATAATTAAATTAAGTTCACAGGAACATAATTAAACTTTATGTAAATTTGAAACGAAAAGAAAGAAGGAGAATGAAAAAAAGTGGAGAAAAGAAATTCGAGATAAGTGATTAACACTTTTTCTTTGAAGACAAAATTGCCCTATAACGATGTTAACGGATTACAGTAATTATCTTTCAAGATACAACGGATGCAACTTGTGGTAGAAACATTTTAAACCACAAGCAAAAGCAACTTGAACAAAAATTTTCTTTTTACAAGAAACTAATTTTGGAATGATTTTTGGAGAGTTTTGCCAAGAGATTTTGATGTAATGCTCGATGCAAATGATATTTGATGCATAATGGACGTCTAAAAAATCATATTTATAGAAGCCGAAAGGTTGTGAGTGAAAAAACGCGCCTCAAAACTCAGCAACTTTCAAGAAAAGACACATCCCTTGCTGTCACTAACCTGTCACCGGACTCTCGCTCGAGCGCCAATGGCATATTTTCAATAAAAGCTTTTCACCTGCTTGTTGCTAGCATGTCGTTTGAGTGACAGTTTCGCCGCTCGCTTGGCACTAACTTGTAGCTCGAGCTGTAGTACTATATGATTTTTCCTTTTTTTCTCCTTGTTTTTCTTCTAACTTTGGACTACAATTTCTCATTTATCTGGAATTGATTTTGAGATTCCAAATATACTTTGACGATTTATTCGATGAGTAGAACAAGTTAATCTATTATTTTTTTTAATTTGATTATCGTATCAAGTCTGAATATTTGGTCGAAATTGACACAAAATCACTTTTCAAAATGCGACGGCAGCTTACTAGAGAAGAGGGTAGGGTTGGACATAGTCAGGTTCGGTTCTAATGAGAATCGAATCAGACTCGAAATTTTTGAGTATTTAATAACTGAAATCGTCGGGTTTAAATTTAATTATCGAACTGTTCAAGTTCGTTTCCATTCGGTTCAGCTTGATTTGGTTCGATTCCATATTATAATTAAATTTTTTAATATTTACAAAGTTACATTAATTTAACTAATGATGCGTTCAATCTTAACTCTTACAAAATAACATAATCTAATGTTATCTGTCTTTTGCATCTTTCTTTACTTAGTTCTTTATAGATTTGATTGATAAAATTATAGGAAGAGTAAGATAGCGAGCTCAAAATAATTAAGAGAAGCATTGTCGAGCTTTAATTCGATTTCTCCAGAACGGTAGAGACGATACTATCGTAGAGTAATAGATTTGAATAAAACTTAGGTCAATTTAATTAAGTTGGCTTTGAATTGAAAATTAGAAATTAAAAAATCATATATATATTT